TAAACTCTGGGGTCGCCGGTGCTAAGGCCTGCACCACCAGGACAGCAAGTCCCAGAAAGTCAGGACAACGCCGGCTAGCAGAGCTTGAGAGGGCAAATCTGAGGATCTAAATTTAGCACCTTCCTGACTGCAACTCCAGCTGAGTCATAGGACCTCATTTGCTTTGTATCTGTTTCCATCTTGCAATATGGGTAAGGCTCATTAAAATCCCTGGTGCCAAAGCCCAGGGTGTGTCAGCTGGAACAGAAGCAGGTCCATGGACCCTTTCTTCTTTCGGGGCTCTGCCCCAGGGGGCTGGGTCAGACCTTCCTGACCCATGGGTGCCTGTGGGAGGACTTCAAAGTACAAATCCCCACTAGAAGGGAGGAGATAGCAGCAGCTGCATATTACCCTTCCTCCCCTCATCAGCCCTGGCAGAGCCGGTTCCACTTCCCAGGGATAGGCGGAGATTGGAAGGTTTTCCTTGGACAACTATGGTGGGCAACAGTGGGCTCTCCTCCTCCTCTCGGCTGCTATGGAGAATCTTCAGGGGAAAGATACAGGCTCAGATCAGCCTGGGCCTCATTGCAGGGCCAGGGTATCAAGCTCCTATGGAGCCAATCTGCCATGCGGTCAGTCGCGGGCACAGCCAGGACGCACAAGGCTGGGGTGAGGACGGCTCCGGCCTCCCTGGGAATCTGCCAAGTTTATGGGATGCTCCCACAAGACACTTCATTCAGTTCAGGACTCGTGGTAGAGGTGATACCTCTTATTAGACCAGCTAGATTTTTGCAAAACAGTTTCTCGAATTGCAAGCTTTCGGGCGCAAGCACCCTTCCTCGGGCGTCAGAGAAGAGGTTGGAAAAGCTCTGGATGGAAATGAAAGTTTCTTTCCTGGGTAGATATGGAAGATCATAATCCCACAAGACACTAAAGCGGGTCAAAGCCCAGTCCCCAGGTGGGTAAGTAGGGTGGCGTGGGTGGGTTGGTAGGTGCGGGGGTGGGTGGGCATGCGTGTAGGGGTGTGCGTGGGTGTGTGCGGGTGTAGGTGTGTACTCCCGGGAATGACAGAAATCCAGCCCATCATGGCGAACGATCCCAACTCCCTTTCTTCTGCAAGTCGGATCATCTCTGCAGCCCAACGGGCAGCTCACACAGGTCAAGTGAGCAGGATTTGGCCTTGTTCCCTTAAAGGACACATTGCACCCATGAACCCCCGCGGTTGGGAGCGATTCCAAAGATGCGTCCCTTTGCATTCGCCCTGAACCTGAGGACTGATGCTATACCCCGAATACAGCAAAGGAGTCACAGCACTTTACTGCGGACTATGCTCCTTCCACCCCGTGGTCGCACCTCCCCGCCCCTGGTCGCACGTGGACTGGGCGTGAGCCCCGCTCCCTGCTCGGCCCCTTTAAGAGCCCGCGGCTGTCACAGGCGGAGGGGGCGGGTTTTTGGCTGCAGGTGGCGCCGGCGGGCGGCTGCATTGCGCCTGCGCCCGCGGCTGGGGCGGGAGCGAGGCTGCGAGAGTGCGCTCTGATTGGCCGCGCTTGCCCCCCTCGCCCCGCCCCGCCC